TATATAAAATATATATATGTATATATTTATGTATAGTACAAGATGTGCCACAGTTGGTAGTAAAAATAGAATTAGGATAATTTTTTATAAAAAAGTAAGTTCAAATAAAACCTTACATAAAACTTTTTTATGCAAGATTTTGCTTGACCAGAAAAACAATTTTAAAATATTTGTTAGGTATGCACTTAATTGTTGGGTCATATAAAACCTATCTATTGTATATCGTGATATTATTGAATAACTGAAAGAAAATAATAAGTTTAGCCTTTGAAAATAAAGACATGAAACTATAACTAAAAAATATATAAATTTAACTTTCAAATGGTACAAGAGTGCGAATTCGCACCGCAAAAGTTTTCGAATTGTTGATATTTGCACAGAGATATCTGTCGCGGCTATTTGCCGGCTAGTCGCGGCATCAGTGTTCCATTAGTGGATGCTCGAGAGAAGTGCACCATTTGAAGGTTAATACAAAGAGCACAATTATGTGTACGACAAAATAGACGATATTTTAAATAATTTTTAAGATAATAAAATAAATAAATTAGAAAACAAACAGAAATAGAGACCAATGAGAGCACACAGATAAATTATAATATAATCATATCATTTAACTTGGTATTAAAGTAGAACGTTTCGACTTAACTAATAATAAGTCTGCTTTAGCCGCAAATACAATTTCAATAAATATGTATATTACATTATTTTAATCGAAAAACACGTAACATTTTTAATAAGTTCGCAAATACAAATTTTAATGAATATATTGCATTAATTAAATCGGAAAATAATATTTTTACTATTAAGATAAAACTATGTTCGACATAAATATATTACAAAATTTCATGTAGGATGTTTAAAAATTGTAGTGTATCAATTTTTTTTTAATTCTGCGTTTATAATTTATATTTACCATTATAAAAATTTGTAACAGTCAATATTTGAATTAAAATCATTGTCTAAAATTATCATTAACTTTTTCTTTTAAAAATCTGTGATAATTGGTCCAATTACATCGATGGGTCAGAAACAATTGAAAATTTCAATATAAAGAGTTCTCTAGTTAATGTCTTTATGACAAATGATAATAATGAACATTTTTGATAATTTGATTTGTTTTGAATATTGTGTCAGTGTCCTACATTCTAGTTAATCTACACAAGTCAAAAGATATCAAAATAACAGTTCAATATCAGTTTAAATTTAATCCGTTTTTTGTTTTTTAATATGTATTATTTGTAATAAATAAATAAATAGTAACAAATATAAATAAATTATAGTAATAATTCTCAATAGTAGCATTGTATCGGAATGCATTTTTATTTTAAAATATTAGTAAATATGTATAAAATAAATTGCATCTCTATTAAAAAACTATTACATTTCAAGTATTTATATAAATTATATAAATGCTTAATTTATATTGCAAACATTTATATAAATTATATACTTTGTATAAATGCTTACAAATATTAGAAAATATAGTTAAATTCATCCTGCATTAGAAGAATTAATAATCATTTAGAAGACAAATTTAATTAAAAGAATTTTAAATAAACAATTATCTCATACATTCTTGTTTTTGCAAAAGGATGATTATAAATTGTTATTGGATCATGTAAAAATTACAGATATGTTAAATTATAATTAAATAAAACTCTTATCTGATTAATAGAATAGATTCAACAATCTTAAAATGTTGTTTTGAACTTTTTTGGTACTGTTCAAATTTTCATTATCATATAATTCTTACTTTATCTACTATCTTACTTTATATACTATATTTATACATATGCAAAGATAAAATCTCATCAGTCACTAAAAAATATCTATGTATTCTATATAATCAGTAAATGTTACATATAAATATTTTTTTTGTAATTACATAAAAGGCATATTGTAAATATATTATTTTATACACTAGTAAAACAATATATAACCTGAAATTCAATAGAAGTATGTACCTGCATTTTTCGTAAATACGTCTTATCAATTTCTTCGACCATTTTTGTCATTTGATCTTCAACTCGTTTTTTCTGTTCCTCCATTTTTATTTCAATATTTATTATGAATTGATTATATTCTGAATTGATAATATGAAATGTGAAACACGTACGTAAGCACATGAACTGATACTACATAACCTAACCGGCGAAATAAATGAGGTTATGTATAATCGAGAGAGAAGGACAAGAGTCGAGAGCGTAAATGCTGTCCGGTTCGATTTGCACTCAACTGCACTTGAGTGTTAAAGGTCCTTCTCATAAGGGCGAATTCACATCTTGACAGAAAAGCGGAAAACAGAAAAGCAGAAGCCAATGCGTAGTCTGATACCGGCTTAATTGCATCTCCACTTGCTACACCTATACTGGCCAATATTTTCGCTTCCAGTTGTATTATATGTATGTATGTATGTATGATGGACGTACTTTCAGATCAAATGATCGCGTTTAGATATTCGTGCAATAGTTAATTCAAGAAGAAACCAATAGCATTATTTTATTTGACTTAAGAGCAACTATTTTATTTTTAAGCGCAAAAACATTTCGACATGCAAAACATCTGTCGTCTAACAATATTTCTAAGAGGGCGCAATGAAAGAGAGAGAGAGAAAAAGAGAGAACGTGTGATGCGCGCGCGCGTGTGTGTGTGTATCGGTGTTCAATGATACGTTGTCGGTCAGTCGGTGTTCATTTAGTGAATCAGTTTGATCAGTTTCTTCAAGTCTTTTGCCGTTCGTTTACATTCGGATAATAATGTTGTGGAATGATGTCGTTTATGTACTACTACTATTATTTTCCATAGCGATTGGGCCGTTCTACCGTAGAATAAAAGGACCTCGTGCGAAACAATGGGTCGCAACCCTCCTCGGCTTCGCATTAGTGGTCTGTGTTTCAGGATTGTCGGTCTTACATCCAATCGTTACCGTATTCGTCAACGCCATTATTATAACCAACTTGTCATGGAAGTATGAATATATTTGTATATATTTCTTCAAAGTAAACCTTTTTCTTTTATAAAATGATGACTTGCGTTTAGAGTATTGCTCACTGATTCCGCTAAATTTTTACGTAAGTATGTATTTTAAAGCGAAAAATACGTATAATGCATTAATTTCCTTTTTTAATTTAAATTTTATTTGCGATGGAATTTTTTGTTTTTCGCGAAATTTTTTGTATGTTTCAATGCTTCCTAATATGTTTAATGATTCGCGCCCACATGCATACATCAGTTCACACACACACACACACACGTCTTAGCACACTATAATGACCTTTAAATTTAACCACTTTAAAGCTAGCTAAAGATATCCCATGTTCTACGGCTTTTAATAGAGTCTATTGCATTTAATAAAATATATATCGTATAAATGTGTGTATTTTGTATATTTTGTATTTAATAAATAAGTAAGATTTAAAGTGACAGAGTTTTTTCCCATTAAATTTAGTAAATACTACGTCTAAAACCTGATAATTATAGATAGTACCTCCATATTATAGTGTCAAAGTCCATCACTAATTAAGATTAATTTTCATTTGGACATTGGACAGATATTATTGTCTTAAGTATTGAGATTAAGATACAATGATTATCTAGAATTATGAAGTAATTGTGTCAATAATTACTCCAAATTGTAGTTCCCTCATAAATATTTTATATTTCTGAATTAAACAATTAATAATATATATAATGTATTTGACTTCCAATTTAAAACAATAGAGAGGACTAATATAAGACAGGCAATAAGAGTCAATTACGCAGAACTTAGTATAGTTCTGCTTAGAAATTTTTCTTCGAAATATTTTGAATACCTTTACATTCTTTAGTGTCAATAAGCTTGAGAGAATAAAAGCATATAACATAAGGATTGTGATTATGAGCACTCTATGTTTCTGTAATAGCAGGTACTAGTAGTTAAATCTGCTGCGAAAAGATGCATCAAACATATATTAGTGCGAGCCACCACGAATGACGGTGTGTAATAATTTCTTACAATATCCAACTCCACGTAAGACTGCATGTCGCAATTCGTCGGTCTTGAAACATGCGGCCAGAATAACTTGTAACAAATTAAATTGATTAACGATTTAATCTTTTTGATGCTATATGCATCTATATCCCCTTTCCCTCCGAATCTGTAGAATTATTTATTGCGAAGAAAATCACCTCAGCTCTCAGCCAGGAATCGAACCTGGATCTCCACGTTTGCCATCATCCGTGTTGGCTCGCATACGGCCTAATATATATTTGATATATTCTAGTGAGCCTATGTATCTAAATTGTTTTAAAGATGCATCTATCTTCATAACACCCTAGTATGTTGCGGGATTTACATTAATTTTATTTACTTCAGAAATTTATCGAATTAAATAAGCAGGTATGTTATTTTTTCCTTCAATTCATAAAATCTATATTGAAATAGGATCTTGTTCTGCATATCAATGTTCATGAAATAAACAATATTTAACTGTCCTAATCTCACAAATTTCCAAGAATATTATTGGTAAATTTATTAGATATAGGTTTTTTCAAACGGTGCATGGTCGTTTATTATGAGCATGCTTATATTATTCTTACGTCTACATGCTTATACATTCTTATTAGTCTATTATAATATAAACACCGTCAACCTTTATGAATTGGAAGATAAGTTATTTTTTATTATTTTCATTATTATTTTGATCTAACATGAAATTCTAATTGAAAAAAGCTTTTCAACGTCTAGTGAAGATCCACGTAAAATGTACAAGGGTTGACATAGAAGTCACGATTTACGTTTGCAATTATTATTAATAGATCATTTTGTAAGAATAAGAGGAATTACGTTTTAAATATTTATTTTTGTTTTAATTTTGTTAGAATATTTCAGTACCGTTCAAATAAAAAGTTATTTTATTTTCTACTAAATTGTTTAAATATTATCTTTTATTAAATTTTAAATTTCTTTTTTCTTTCAAGGTCTACGTTTGATCATTTCGTGAAAAGATAATTATATTTTGAATGTTTATTCTATTAGAATATTTCAGTACTATTCAGGTAAAAAGATATTTGATTTTCAACTGAAATGTTAAATGTTTATTCTAATAATCTCTATACCAAGTCAACTTCACTTGTAACGTTGAGACAAGACACATCTTCGGATATGTATATTTCTCTGTGTTTGCTTCTCCTGATCGTTTTACAGCTTTGACGTAATAATGGTCAGTAGAAGTCTTCCTTGTAAAGGATTTGGCGGGCGATTTGTTTGTATGCTTTTTTTATACTACTATGGGACTTGCTGTTGATTTTGAACCGTTCCGCAATTATTAAATTTGTCATCTACGATGTGATGTTTTCCGCACTGAAAAGGACCCAAACCAAGGGTCGATTCTTCTATCTCAATAAAGATTCTAATTATGCATTAACACCTGCATTGTGGCACTTATAGGCACATTTTATTCTCATTTTTTATTTGTTATCTTAGAGCCTTAAAAATTTCTCTATTGTATATATCTATTTCAATCCTGTGAAAGAATTTTCAATTCCGTTCAGTCAATTCGAAGAAATCTTTACAACTGCAATGTGTCGATAATTTCGTCCTGTCGAATCAGCATGGTCTTAAATTAATAACTGCTGAAAAATATTTTAATATAAAAAAAAAACAATTTTATATTTACTATTTTTAATTCGCAAAAAAATCTTTGTGCATTGTAATAAGAATGATTTAATTCGTTTCAATTTATCCTGTGTCACAAATTAAAATCGATTCATAATTCACCAAATTTTGTTTCGATTGAAAAGAGTAATATTCACTTTCTTCCAATATCCTGTATTATGAATAACAATGGATTTGAGACTTTCCCGAATCTTTTTTTGAATTAAAAGAAGAGCAATTATGTCATTTCAATATTCTATGTCACAAATTAAAATGACCCAAAAAATTTCTTTTGGACTGAAAGAATATGGAAAACGAAAATGGATTGGCCTTTGTGGAAATGAATGGAATGCATTTCTATTTCTGCATAATACCAATGTAATATTTTTTGGATTTAGACAATGCATTTCCTATTCACAATTTTGAATAGAATAGCATTCGATCATGGTTTATTCTGACGGAAAAACCTTTGAATTTAATTAGATTGAAAAAACTGCATTTCCTGTTTAGATCAATTTTGAATTAATCAATGTTCATGATTTACTCTTTAAAACTGAATTTATTTTTGGATTGAATGGCATAGAAAATGTGTTTCCTATAAATGAATATAAAGGTATTGGGCATTGAAATGGATTCAGATTTTTAGAAGTACGCGAACATTGAAATCTTTTTCAATTTATTTTAATTTATTTTCGTTTACTGAGTAGAAATCACTTCCCATTTCACGGATTAAATGGATTGACGTGGCCTACGTAATCTTTTTTAGATCAGCATATAGGACCCCCTAATTTCAATCCCATTTCATGAATTAAAATGGATTTAAGAAATTCTTAAATTTTTTTGATTGAAATTGGTTAAAAAAAATAAAAAATTTGGATTCGACACAATGATCACATGAATCCATTTTCTATCCATTTCAATTCATTTCCGTTTGCTAGCAAACTCGCGGGCGAGTAGCGCGCTTTTTAATTGTTTTTATTTCACTATGTGTGTGTGTGTGTGTGTGTGTGTGTGTGTGTGTAACATTGTCATTGACTATGGCCACTATACGTAAATTATACGTTGATTGAATTAATATTAATAAGAGTGTATTATTTAGTTACCATTATATCCACCTGTACCAAAATTACAAAAAAATAATATAAGTGATCTATCCGCGGTTCTAGTGTTAACTCAATATTTATAAAAAATATAATTTTTAAAATATATGACATGTATGTCCAACTGATCGTAAAAGATTATCATAAAAGTAAGTTATCAAATAAATAAAAAATATTTTATATTTTATGTCAAAATGAATTTATTTTATGTTGAAATAAAGTAAAGTATAAAATAACAAATATCATTATATTGTTTTTCAATTTGATATGCACGAGAACTAACACATAATCAACTAGATTTCACACAGGACTGTCACTGTAGTATCGCACACGACAAATACAAAATCGACGGTTGGTATTTTATATTGTAAAATACTAAAAAAAATTACCTTAAATAAAAAAAGATATCCTTTAGAGGAACATTATTATTAATTATTAAACCTTCAGTTTTTCTACATACATCCTAAGTTTTATATTTGATGCAAACAATGAATTTTGACGAGCATATAGGCCAGAATTTCATTATTCATCTTTAATCTAATGACCATCAACTTGAGAGTTTTTAATTTATATTTGCTCAGAACATCTGCATCGAATTAGTATATTATTTACATATGTATGTAATAAAATGTTATAACGTCTAACATCAATATACTCAAAATAATTCTAAAATACATATTTAAGTGGAATTTTGCAAATCGGTGGAGCATATACTTAAAATGGAACATTTAATGTGCATTTAGCCCAGTTAAGTAACGAATGGTAATCCGGTAAAGGAAAACCGTGACTAATGTATTCTCAGCGAGATATTTATTTTGTAAACTTCTAACTTATAAATATTTTTATGCGATTAAATTTACAATCTGTAAACTGATTTAATAATAATAGGAATAAATGTAATAAACGGAGAAATCAGGTTTTCCCGAGTCCGGAGTGCCGTGTAATCAAATGTTCGCCGGATAGATTCGATAGACTTTTATCTTGCAGAAAATGCCACCTGGTCAGCTTGTATTTCTCCTTTTTCTATTTACTGGTGATCTTTCGATTGGGCGACTATTTTGGTTTACCGAGTCCGCCGACTCACACGAATCTCGTCGTAATGATTCTCACCTTAAAGCTACCTGGACTAGCGTTTGAGATCAACTCGGCAGCTACCGCACCAACCGATGATGCTCAAGGAGCGAATTCCAACGCGCTCAAAAAAATTAATTTCATGGACGTGATACATTATAGCTTCGGTTATATGGGCGTACTGACAGGTAAGGTACGACGAATATATACAGACGCGAAATTATAATAAATGTGCAAAAAAAGAATTGATATACTAATAAATTGTATTAATTAATTTTTGCAGGTCCGTATTACCGTTACCGAACATATTGGGATTCTCTGCACAGACCGTTTTCCAACTACGTCGACCCGTGGCCGCTCACCTATCACAAACTCAAACAGATCGCGGCGTTTATCGTATTGTTTCTAGCGATAAACTACCTCTTTCCCAGCGACGTAATGTTCACATTACATTATAAAGAAGCAAATGCATAACTCCGCGATAGAACGGAATAATTGGGACTTTATTGCGTTATTAAAATAGCTTCTAGACGATCAATATTATTGTGCAATATTTTTAATATTGCACAATATTATTGGTATTATCTGGAGGCTATATTGAAAGGATTTATGCGAAACAAGACGGGACATTTAAATTATTACAATTATCTTTAAAAATACACGTTATAGCAAACAAATGTTTTAGATAAAAGTTACTTTTGAAGGGGTGAAAGGGAAAAAAATAGAGATGTTAATTTGACATTAAGTGTAAGTAACAAGGTCATGTGAAAATCATCGCCTTTTTTTATGGAATATATAATTTTTTACGTAAGACAATTTTTTTAGTGATTCTGCATATTAAAATATTGAAGTAGAGTTATAAAAAAAATTAATAATTAATGAGATATTTATATTTTATGTCAAAATATGTCAGAATAAAGTATAAAATATCTCGTCTGTTTAAGTATTATTACGCAATAAGGTACCAATACAGATATTGGATCCAAAATTTTCTAATTTCCCGATTGTGAACGTAACGACAGCAGACGTAATAATCGTTCCAATAATTCTAATGACATGTCTTTTTCGATTTCAGTACACGCAAACTGTCGCGTTCGAAGAGCACTGTTTCTTCTATAGATTTTTTTATATGTATCTGACATTCACTGGATTTCGACTGAGAATGTTTATTGGCATGGCGCTGGCCGAATGCGTCTGCCAAATGTCGGGACTAGGAGCTTATCCAGTCTGCTGCCAGTCTGCACCCGGTCTGGGCCCGCGCGATTACAAAACGATCGAAAAATTGTACGATAATTTTTCTTCTGTATATTGACCTATTTTGAGATATTCATATTCAGCAAGCCACTTTTCTATCAGCTGAATAAAACGAATTCGTATTATTATATACGTTTATATATACAGTTTCTCGACACTAATACGCAGAAGATATTCAAATTCTGATGCATATTTTTAGAGCCAAAGGCTGGGGGAAATGTATGAACAAGCAACTTTTTATATAATTTTTCAGGTCGTTTGATCATGAGAGAGCGAAAAAAGAGGAGCAGGATTTTGAAACGGTGCACAACATGAACGTATGGGAAGTGGAATCGACTCCGTTTGTCAGGCATACGATGAAAATGTGGAATACGTGCATACAATATTGGATGGCTGTCTGCATTTACAAAAGATTCCCTCACAAAGGTTTAAGAACCGTCGCCACGTTGACTTTATCTGCCCTGTGGCATGGTTACGCCGCAGGCTACTACTTTTGCATCTGTCAAGTCCCACTTTATCTACCTTTCGAAGACCTTTGTAATAAATTTTACAATCAATGCGAAGAAAATGGATTTGTAAGTAAATAACATAAGCTTAATGATAAGAAATTCCATTTTATTAAGATTTATCCAATGATATAAATCGGAGAGGCTTGTATTTTATTAAAGATGCAATCTAGTTAAGAATACACTTGAAAATGATTAAGTATGTTAATTTTTTTAAATACAAAGTAGACTATTTTTTGAGATACATAAAATAATTTTTGAGTATATCTAAAAAAAAAAGATTAAATATATCATCCTCTCGCGATCGGAATAATTAGAAAAAGATGATGAAACAAAAAATTTATTTTAATCATTTCAAAATAAATATATCACCTGACATTCTCTACTTATGGTCTTGATTTTTAAGTAAATAAAGAAAGAGAATCAATCTATATTGGACGTACATGTTGATGATTATAATGTCAGACAGAATCAAAACTTTTGAAGTCTCTTCTACAAAATCATTTAACTTTTGTTTTTTTAAATTTTTATAAATTTTTAATCTCTTTGAAATTAAATATTCCATCATTCAATTTCATTCAATTTAAAACAATAACTTTTTCAAAAATTGCAAAAAATTTACTTTTTTCATAATTAAATTCAGAATGGATTTATTTAGAAAAAATCGATCAAAATATAGCTAATTATACCTATAAGAAAAAAAGATTATATTGAAAAAAGAAAACAAAGATAGAAAAAAGACACAAAGATAGTTTTGCCTTACAATTTTGCAATCGCACTTCTTTAATTTATTCTGAATTTAATCATGATATTAGTGTATGTATGTACATAATAGTTGGAATTATATATCAGAGAGAACATCGCCTTAGAAAGATATTTTCAAAGATTTTTTAAAAATAATCGTTAATTTGAAAAATTTTGCCAATCTTAAAATTTAAATCTACATTGTAGAAAGTCAATATATAATTCGAGTTACATGTTTTTATCAGTTTAGACTGAATTTATAAATATCTCAAAGACTTATATCACTAAATAAAACAAAACTTATCTAGAGCAATGTTCTCATATATTGCAAATATTAATTAACATTACTTACCTTATTTTTAAAATTTTAAATATAGGGCAGAAAAGCCTGGGGATTCTTCATGTGGTGGGCGAAACTTACGTGTATGGCATATCTTGGCGTACCCTTCCAGTTACTGGGCTTCCAGGAAATAATATACTTTTACAAAAGTCTATACTTTTCTGGACATATCTTAGGGCTTGTAGCCTATCTAGTTTTACGAATTCTAAAAACTCACTTTTTGAAACGTCAAACGGAAGAGCATAAGAAGAAATAATTTTTTTTGCGCAAGTGCGTTAGCTTTAAAGCAGAAGTTCCCATTATTATGCAAAGTGAAAAAACCGCGTCTCGAGCCATTTAGTCATTTTTTTTTAACTGTTGATTCACTAGACTAGATGAATCTTATGGACCAGGAGATCGGTTTTCAATTGTTATTTATATAATTATAATTATAATTTTTTATAATTGTTATATTTTTTTCTTGTTTGATTTTTAATATTTCTTTTATTATGATTTTACTTATGATTTTACGTATGTCCTCATTTATAAACACAAATGTGTTTATGAAGTCATAGAATTTGCTAAATCTGTATCAATACTTACAGATTCAGTCAACAGTAATTTGATAAGAAATATCGTCACAAATAAAATTTTATTACAAGAGACGATAAGTATTCCCAACATTTCTATTAATGCTTTTAATGTTTTTTTATATTCCATTACACTCGGCGTAATTTTGAATGTTAAATATTCGTAATTTTTTCGAGTCCATTATTTATGCAATGTATATAATTATTTTCAAGATTTATTAAAATAGGATTTTAAATAAAAGTAATTCTATTTTTCGAAAGTATGAAATGAAGATGATTTATGGTTAGTATTCAGTTCTTATTTTAAGACCGTCGTGAATAAGATGCTGTCTTAAGATGTAACACAACTCTGTGACTTATGAAATCTTAAGACGATTTTATAAATATTAAGAACCGACTATGAATACTTAAAACAGTGTGAAGACATTTTTCTTTTTTCATTGGAAGACAGGAATCCCTGCTTTAAGAGTCTCAAAAGATTTGTGTTGTTTTCAAGTCAAAATAACAATTTATTATTTTCCGCGTAGTTTTTTTTATAAAACGGAATCAAAATAGTTAATATTTTTTTACTTGACACATTTTTACTTGTTGAATATTGGAAGATATTGTAAGTACAAATCTGGGTGCCACTTGTTAATTGACGCCCTGCAAATTGATAGGATTTGCTACAGAATTTTTTTACGAAAGAAGAAAAGGAACGTCATACATACTACTAGAATGTATAAGATAGCCGACAGTAACATCCGTAAATTATCGAGAAGAGCAATAAAAAGTCTATTTCTTTATTTGGTAAATGAAATTTTATTTGAATACCTTGCACATACTTGCACATCTCCGCAAATCCACCGTTGCATATGTTTTATCTATAGGATGAAATTTTTTATATATGTCACTTTTATAAAATATGTTGAATAGAAATACTTACACTAATCTGTAGCCTACCTACATGGTGGGCTGACATTTATACCTGAAAGAAAGACATGGAAGAAATATCGGGGAAGAAAATTTTTCAAGAATCTTCTCTTAATCATTTTTGACTGATGTGGCGTCTCCGGGGCATTAAATATTTCTCACTCAGCCGATGTATGCCGATTGTCCAAGACTGAGAAATGAGGCAACATTGTTTCGATAGTAAACTCTCTACTCTAATTTAGTCTAAATTAATCACTTAAATTATTTTTGTATCTTGGACCTTTCCAAATTTAATATTGTGAGTATTCACTATAGTATATAAAATGCATTGACAATTTAACGATTAAAAGATTTGAAAATGTCAAGCAAGACTTCTATAAGACATGTGTGGAATAATTTATTTATTCTTAATCGTTTGCAATTTCTTATTCAATGCCAAATTAAAATATTTACTTTGAATGAAAATTAACCAGTATTAAATAAGATGTAAAATACAAAAAATATATATATTAAAATAATAAATCAAAATAAAAATTGATTTACAATACATTCAAAATATGTATTTTATTACAAGAAAAACAGAGCTTTGTAGTACATTTTAATGTTCCATGAAACACGAATAATGTAAAAGAATTAATTTATCTCAACATATATTACACAAAAAATTTGTACAATTTCTTATATTTTTTTATATCATAATTTAAGCTGTGAAAAAACTTTAAAAATATTGTTAAAGAACACATAAATACGCGTGTTCTTTAAATAAAAAAATAGAAGATTAAGAACAATTTCTGAAGATATGAGAAATATATTTTAATAGGCATTGAATAGGAATCATTTCAAGTAATTAGAATAAATAAAGTGATCTTAAATGACTTAAACGGCCGTCTTCGATGAATATGTTATGGATACGAAGTAGAGGAGGATGGATTACGAATGATACGCGATAAGTACGATTAGGGGCAGCTCTATGATAAGAGGAAGTTGGATTAAACTAAAAATCATCTAAGATTCTTATAGGACCTTTGCGTAATCTCTCATCGGCCATCATTTATAGCAATTTAGAATCAAACTTAATTATTGGTGATATTGTTACGTTTAACACAACATAATAATTGTAATGAAAAATTAAACATACTTTGTAGAAAGTTGTATCACGAAAGGGATTTACAATATAGATATCTCAAAATTGTCGAATGTCCTCTTAATGACAGATTCTTTGATTAATTTAGATTCGATTTTTTCTTAGCGATACCGATATCAATAATTTACCAATTGATTGAAAAAGATTTTTTACGAATTAAATTTCGAAAAGTCAAGTAAATATTCAAGTATATTTTTTAATTTATTTAAATTATAATTTACTTTAAAAGAATTAAATTTATAATTTATTATTAATTTAGCTATAAAGTATGACGCAAAAAACTTGAAAAATTAGCAATAAAAGATGATTTTTCTTGATAATTTTATAAAGAAAAAATTGACATTAAAGTCATCTGTCAAGGATATCCGATAGTTTTCAAACATCTTAATATAATGCTTTGCGTGAAAATTCAAAAAATAATTTTATCAATAATAATTTTCTGCAAATTAGAAAGTTTTCGTCCATTTAAGGGGTTACACCCTTGAGATCTCAAAATGATACCTAAGTTTGAGATTTTTTTGTAGGGAAATAGACTTCATTTAAAAACTGTTTATAGGACATTGTTGTACATATATATAAGAA